GCCCAAATTCTAGCACTGTAACTACATTACATTCTGTTGTTTAATCACCATCCCTCACCTACCAGCCAGTTCAACTGAAAACCGAAAAATATTCTTCACTTCCTTTTCATAAAATGCTGCACAGTATTACGCGCGCTGCTAAGTAATTGCCACATTTCAGGCCAGCGGCGGCTGCAATTCTGTGGTAAATGACGTACACACCTAAGGTTATATACTCGGCAATCTTTGTGAAGGCACTCTGGGATCCACCTCAAACATAACAGGAATCCACTGGGATGAAAAGCCCTTTCTAAATCTAAGATCCCCGTCATTCAGTCAGAGCGATGGATATTGGCAAAATATGTTTAACTTTAAAATAACATTTGTTTAGCAAAGATAGAATAAGGGTCCATCTAAATTACAGAACTATATTCCATTATCCATAAGTATTAAATCTTTCATTTCTCGGAACTGATGCAAAACCTTGTAAATCTTAGAAGTGTTTTTCATCTGCAAGTGTCTTCAGTTCTTCTCTCAGACACTCTGCATGTAGGATTATGATGAATTGATAACCCCTCCAAGAATAAATGAAGAGGCATCATGGGAGCAAGTAAAGTGAAGAAGATCATGCTCTGAATTCCTTGCTCATGGAAAACAGTGACCAAACTCTCTTTGACATCAAGGAGGACCTGGATTTCACCCAAGCTCCCTACAATACAACTGTCTGAGCTTCAGATCTTGCCTCAAACACAATCTGCCCACATGTCCAAGCAATTTGTGCAAAAGGAATGCCCTGAAGCTATAAATGGAAACTACTCCACTGCACAACTTTATCTCACCAGGAAACAAAGCACGTGGAATATGCAGCACAAACCACCTTTGCAGATTTACAGACCAAGGAGGCTAAAAAGTAAGGTCAAACACTGAGCAGGAAAAATGAAATGGCTTCAGTATTTAACATTTAATTAGAGTAAGACCTGGAATCATAAAGAGAAGGAGTTTTTGCAATGGAGGAGCAAGCTAAAATACAATGTAACAAAAATTGCTTAAAAACTATCAAAGTCCTAGCCAGCCATGCAGATAACAAGGCCATAGATGAGTTTGAAGTAAACTTTACTAATTTACTTAACACAGGTTTTGAAGAAGATGGCATATACATCACAAGGCTTTTAGGATGGGCCTGGCTAATATTAATACCTATTATAGCTGCTGTAATACATTATCCGGAAAGGGACAGAAACTAACAAGCTGCCAGATAACAAAAAAAGGATTACTTTCAGGTGCCAATAATCTTAAACCCTTCCCCAAGCCTCTCCCAATACCATTCCTCTGTATTTAGACAAAAGTTCAAAATCCGGAACTATGCCTGCAGCCATTTTTCATTCAATTATATTTCACGGATAGAATGTTCAAAAGTGACCTATAATTTCAGAAAATGAAATCTCTGAGAACACATTCAGATATCCAGGGACTAACTGCAGAACTGCTGTGCACAACTTCCACTGACACCTCTTGCTCAGTGCTTCAAATACGCTGTCTTGGCCCCATGTCTAAATGAGGATTTAGAACTCTGATTTTAAGGGGACACAGCTTAACAATTTTCAGTAGTTAGGTTGAAGGACATAAACACTTTTGGGGGCCTGAAGTCTGCACTTAGCTTTTGGGAAAGAATCAAGTCAGAGGGCAAAACAGAAGTGATGAGAAAAGCAAAGGTTCTGTCTTCACGCTGCAAGGCTTTAAAATACTGCAAATAATACATAACCACCCACACTAAATACCTTACATAAGTCAGTAAATACATGTATGTTCTCTAGGACTGCAGCTACATTGTTATGCGTTATTCTGTTCCATCTTTCACCCCTAAGTGAAAACGATTCTCCCTTCTTTCATCTCACAAAAGAAGAGGCACCTTTCTCTTCCTCTGGAGAGCTACAGATATGCTTGTATCTTCAGTATAATACATTTTCAGTGCTTGGGGTATGAGGTTTGTTTTTCTATCACCTTGTGACTACCAAGGAAACTGATTCAGTTCAGTGATCTAATGGAAAACAATCTTTGTATGTTCATATATTTTTTTAGATAAATTCCATTATTAGTAGCATCATTATAATTACCTTATTAATATGCAGGTTCCTGAGTTCAATAAAATAAAATGTGTATTTCTTCACACCAAAATATTTTCCAGGTGGCACTAGTCTACACGCTGGAGTCTACCCCAGACAAGCTTCATCATTCAGGTTACTCCAACAACATTTATCCAGTGACACTCATGATGAATCTGAGATGCCTGATCACACAGTCTACTAAGGCACCGTATGACAACCTCAGAACTGAAGAAACCCAACAGTTGGAGGCCCAATCCTCACCTTGTGAGATGAGGGAAAGCAGTGCTGAGCTCTAAGCTGAAGGGCTATTGAGTTCAGTATGATGGGAATGCACGAAGTGCACTGGAGGGTCAAGAGGTGCCACTGACTGAAGGGAAGCAGATGTTTGGCAATAGGATTCCAACTAAGTGTTGATTAAAATTTCAACTTTTCAATTAGAAGACAGCTGTTTGAAGTGCTCAGAATAGTCTATTTAATTGTTTTCTGCCTCTGGAAACTCTGAGAAGGAAAAATAGCTAGCGAAAAACTTAAAGCCTTCAACACGAAGCCCAGAAATTCAAAGAAATTTTTACCTTTTTTTTTTTTTTTTAGGCAACAAAATTTGCTTACCCTTCTAACACTAGTATCAGTACAGTGATTCGGAGATACTACTGACAAAGTGATAATACAGAAATTAATAGTAAGAGTAATCAGCAATTCTACTAAAGACAAGAAAAGATTAAATGAAGGTGAAACCTGTACGGGGAGACCCTTGACATTCAAACACAGTTGCAAAGAAGTACTGATATCTCCTGTAACAGGACAGGTGGAGAGAAAGGGCCTGAGCACCAGACATTGTTCTCAGGGGTGAGTGAATGACAAAAAGCCTTGGAGATACTGACCATTCCTTAAATGCTATCTCAGTTTCTGATTACTAACCCTTGATCTTTTTGAACACGTGTATAACAACAGCATGAATATGCAGGAACCTGTACCTGAATTTGCCCAGTAACTTCACAAGGGGCAAAAAACATAATCAAGTCAAGAAAAAAAAAGTGTAATGAAAGGGAAGTGGTATGTCTTTCAAACAATACTTGAAAATACTTTACAAATTTCACTGCCTTTTGCCATGTAAATTATTCAACAAATAGTTATTCATATTCATTAGACTTTAAAATAGAGAGATCTTAAAAGGACAAGAGTTTGGGGTTTTTTTCCTAACTCATTTCCTTAGATCTTGATCTATGGAACAGATGAAAATACATTTTTGGGGGAAAACATAATTCAGTAAGTCGACAGCTCTATTCCAGATAGTTATGTATCAAATGACATTACAAACAAGCATTATAATCAGCAACAGATCAGTCAATTGTATCTATTTCAGAACTTCAATTCCAAGATTATCTGCCTCATATTTTATTCGGTAAAGCCTGTAACACAAGGCACATGAAGGGATCAGAGTAAAAAAAAAAAAAAAAAGAACCACCAGATAGGAGAGTGAAAATAAACACTATTATCAAAAAGAAACACTATTATATAAAGCTGCTAAGGAATGAAAAAAGGGTAAAGCAAAATTCTAGTGAAAGAAATCACATTTGCTGCTACTTCTCTATTTTACAAGTAAAAACACATCTTTGTTTTGGGGAAGTACACGTCACGTTTGAGGAGATACATCGACTTAAATTTTTATAACCCCAAGTAAACTTCTAACCAAGAAAAACCAGGTCTGATTCACGATTTTTTTCTTCCAAAATCCCCCAACTGCAGGTAGCTCTCCAAAAACAAACCAAATCCCATACCTCTTTAGTAAGATTTTGCTCAAACCTTATTTGGACTAACTCCTAATCAGCTTGCTAGTTCTCACCTCCTCCAATCCTTCTACCACTCCTTCATTTCAGCAATAATTTGCCTAAGGTTGTTTTAAGGCGCAGATTTGGCCATACCTGAGCAGACTCCCATGCAGCACAGCTACACCTAAAAACACATGCAGGTGAAGTAGTCACCTATGCAGGGCCACAGTGCAGCACAGGGTTCTCAGAATAAAGCTTTCAAAAGCACCTGGAAAACTTCCCTGACCATTTTCTGTTACATTTCAGACTGAAGTCTCACAAAGACTTCAGATTTGAAGATGTGCACCCAGACAGATCAAATTAAAACCAGGAAAATCTCTCGGACAACTGGCTAAGCTGCACTATTGTCAAGTACAATCAACTTGCTTGTTTGGGCAAATAAAATACCTTGGCACACTTCCCAAACTGCCATTTTATCCCCCTTCCTCTTTTTTTTTTTTTTTCCTGCTTAAATGAAAGATTATCAATCCCTCAAATCCAAACACAACAGATAAATATACCATACAGGGCTCAGTGTTAGTTATGTCAGCATAGAAACAGTTAAAAAAAATAAATACATTCTGTATCCAAATAACTGATCTACTGAACTCGAATTCTTGAAAGTTATTCCTCAAATAAGATAATCTTCAAGAACAACTTTTATGCACCATCAATCTTTCCTACTTCAGTTTGAAGCAATATACCTTTCCATTGCATGAGAAAGTATGAGAACACTGAAGCAAATTTAAAATCCTAATACAAACTTCTGTTAAATACTAAGCTGTGGATAACGTTAGCAGATGTCTCCGTGAAAGTTCTGTCCTTGTAATGATAAATTATACTGCTTGCAAAGATTTTCAAGAGGACAACCGACTTTTTCTCTTGTTTTATCTTACTAACTAACACTGTATAATCAATACAGTGGAGGGATCCTAAATCTACTGCCCACCTGTGCTCAGAATGACTTGAGTTCAAAACTAGATCCTTAATAATACACATTTCTACCAGTTCAACCAATATGCAAAATGCCTCTGTCACATAAAGCACTGCATTAAAATGTGTTTTCAAACTCATAACCTACTGCACTCTACAACAAAGGAGCACTTACTGCCATTGTCGTCAGAATCCTCACTGCTGCTAGGAAGCCGACGTCGTTTCATGATCTCCACGGGAAACAGCAGGCAGCCTGCAAAGCAATGAGACAGCACTTAACCCAAGATAATAACACACAGTCATCAAATTGTGTTTCTGATGGCATTCGAGGATTTACAGCACACGAAGGAAAACAAACAACTTTAAACAGCATCTGAAATATGAACAGTGAGTATCTCAAGGAGGATGCTTAATTAGACAGTCATCATACAAGTAGGTGAACAAAACTGGAGAGCACCAATGACAACCCCACCAATACTTTCACCCCAAAACAAAAGTGTATTTTGTTCTGAGAGGTCTTAAAATCACTAAATATCTGCAGTCAACATACTTAGCTTCCCCTGCCCATTCTGACACTAGATTTGCAATACAATAACATTTTTACTGCTTGTGTAAATATTTACTTTGGCTAGTATGTTTTGGCACCATTTTATTCCTGTTTAAAGTGCCAGATTTATGAAATCAAAGACTAAAGTCATCCACTTACATATAAAAAAAAAAGAAACAGCAGCAGCAGCAAGCCAAGTTTTCCCAGATTAACTAAATATTAAACATGCATCATCTATGCACTGGAAAGCACCACCCTCTAAGGTAAGAGTGTTGCTTCCTCCTGCAGGCACATTTCCAGCACCATGCCTAACACTAACTGTCTTTCAGGAATCAGACCACCAATTGATTACACAGAAGCTCCTGCAAACTGCCAGACTTCTACTGAGTTCAACTGCACATGGACTGGTGATGTAAAGGCAAAAAGTTCCGTATCTTTTTAACTGCTATTCACAAAGCATTGGTATTTTTGCATGTATTCTCTGTGGAATGAAATCAAATTCAGAAAAATTAAGGAAGCTGTAAATAGCTAGTCAGCATTTACGTGTAAAAAGCTATTAAAAAGTGTAAGTTGAAGAGCAGAAAAAACATGACAAGACAAGTGCAGAAAGGCATATCCACTGTAAGTTAAACTGACAAGGACTCTAGATGCACATCAAATCCCCTGAGTCTTTGCTTACCACATATCAATCCTGGTATCAACAAGGTCTGGGTGTTCTCCTAGCAGCAAAGCCCTCATACATACCTCTGGGGCGCAGACTTGGAAATCAGATGCCAAAATACTTTTTTTCCTTCTAGGTAGGTGCAGAAAATCTAACCTCCTCATTTTCACGGGAGTTGAGATTTCCAAGAAACCTTTCAACAAAACTCTTTTCACTGACCCTTCAGTATGGAGCTAACTACTTCAACTTTGTTCACTGAGAACACGTCTCGTTGTAGTAAACTCAATAATGTTTTCAACTTTTATAAGACTAATTCCCAAAATAAGGAAACCCAAAAAGCCTAACCAAAGCCTGACACTATTTCCAAAAAAGCACAAAAATATCTTCCCTCCCAGAAGTGATTCATATAAAAGAAATAAGCTTTTTTTTTTTTTTGGAGGAAATTAATTTTACCATCACTAACAAATCACAAGCAACTGAACCGGAGACTGTATTTTACACTTCCAGTGAGCTTAATATACTTGTAATAGGCCGAGCATCGCAAGATTGCCTCCTTTTTCATATTGTACATGCAAACAGAGGTGGGGGGAAGCCTCCTTCCCACTGAATGACTTTCCAGAGTGGGACTTAGTATGGCTGTCTTTGAAAACTTTGCTCACTAAAGGTAAAGAGAAACTGAATGGTTCACTTCACCAAGATCTTTTGTCACCATTTCACAGAGTGAAGGTTCACATGTAATGTCTCATGCCAGAGAATAAAGAATCATAAATGACAACCTCTTACGGTGCTAGAAGAATTCGCTCCAAAAGAATTGCTTTGAAGCAGACCAGAACTTTGTGTGTACAGCAGATGGAAATGCTGCCAATGAATCAATACACAGACCAGCCTGGCCCATCAAAATCATCTGAATACAGATCTGGTATAAATGTAGTAGATCCAGAGCCAAGTTCTGATACGGTCACTCGATAAAGACAGAAAGCCAACATTCAGATCCAAAACCGGGTAAGACAGAACTGAAAAATCAATTAGCTGCTACAAGGCCAAGACCAGGGGGATAAATATCTATTCTGGAAGGTACTTTTTCTAATAGCTTGCATACTTTTCCTGTAATTGAAAGAAATATTAACAATAGTAATGTACAAGAAAATACTCACTTAGAATGGAAATATCTCCCATAAACAAAGTTAAAGAGGATATGTAAGAAAATACAGAAAAATTAATTATCTGAGAGATGTAACTTGCATATTCCTGGTCAAACTCCTCAACTTCTTGATTCGCTCCCACATAGTCTGAAAAGTACTATGTGCTGTAAAGCAAAATAACACAGCGCATATGCACTGAGACACACTCATGAGCCTGCAATGAACAATAAAATCTGAAATTCTGCTCCTCCACATCTTTTTGGATAAGTGTATATTGAGTTCATCTTCTCCTAGCCATACTTTCTGCAAATTCACAAAATAAGGAAAGACCCAGAAGCTTCTCCTTCCTACCACGTCTTTAAAAAACAAACTAAACATCTTTGTTGTTGTTTAAAGGAGAGGGTGGTACTCGCACCTCCCAATTCAAGCACTCTCCGCAGTTCTTCAGGAGATAAGAGAAGCCAGAACAGCAGCCACTGTCCAGGAGCACAGAGTATTAGATAAGGCAGCTAATTTCCTTGTCCACTCTAGTCAGGTTTCTGAAGTTGGCCACATTGAAAAGCTTGTGTTATCAAAAGTATCATGAAAAGAAATACCCCATTTGATGACGCTTCTGTGAGATCCCTTTATAGATGCATGTGAAAAAAAGAGTTAAAATCCAGAGATCTCATTTTCCCATCTTTGAACCTATCCTGAGTTTACAGGGAGCTAAATCACAGATGGAAAAGCAGCATTTGGCTTCTTAGAGCAAGTCTCAAACCACGTAAAATTAACTCCCTAGAATTTCTGTCATTAGAAGTAATAGAACAGCTTTTTTTCAACTTCTAAAATTATTTTAAACTGTTCCCACCAGATGTTCATATCCACAGTTCAGAACACACGTTCTAGGGAGAACACTGGAACAGCTAATAAGAATTACAACCACACAGATTGAAATGCTGCTGCTCTTAAGGGCATCACAGTACCTCTGTCTCAAAGACTTACCAGTTTCTATCAGGTGATGCAAGAACTGCATTAAAAATAAACATGGATTATGGATAGTGATGGTTAAGGTGCAGATTGAAGGTGCAGGCTTCCCCTGTTCAACCTCAGACATACACATTTTCCCAGCAAGTTTAGAGAGTACTGTGAATTCAAGTAATGCTTTTCTAATCCTCAAGGAAAGAAAAAAAAAAAACAAACCACCAAACCAACAAAACAACTGTAGTAACTCATTCTTCATGGGACATCTAACTAAAAATAAGGAGGTACTTTTACAGTGAAAAAGGCAGGATGGAAAAAACTATCAAACTTTTCAGTAAAATTACTTATTTCATTCTCTTTCCTTTCCTAATCTGAGATTTGAATGCCAGCAATACTACTTTTCTTTCAAATTCTCACTCTTCACAATCATGAAAATGTTGGCATTTTTCACTTGACTGTATTTTGACATACACTTAATATACTCAGGTGCATATAAATGCATCTGATCCAACTCCGATCTTATTAAAACATTCTGAAACTGAAGTAAGTCTGTCAATTCCAATGGCTCAGAAGTAGAGGCAGGTTCATCAAGACTGATTGTACCACAGCTAGTTTAATGGTACAAATTGGCTATGATCACTATGCCTGTAAGCAAAAGAGAATTCACATGTAAGCATAAAAAGGGTGAAATATTTAAGCTAAGATTTAAGATTCATACCAATAATAAGTAAAAACTACGCGCTCAGCCTGCAACACTTGCAGGACAGGAAGAGACCACCCAGGTTACTGAGTTCAATTCCCAACAACTGCACGCAACCACATAATTGCTGTTTAGTCCAGAAGTTTCCACAAAATATTCACTGCACCCACACATGCCACAGAACAACTTCCCAAACCCCTTTGCAAAATGAATGCTTCTCTGAAGCAAGGAAGCAGCCAACGAAGCAGTGCCTTTGAAGCCTGTATCTTCTATCACAAACATTTCTACAGCTGTTTTTCCCAAATTCTTACACAAGCCCCAAAAGGGCATTTGCCCATATACCGTTCACCTGCACAGTAAGCCCAACACTTGAAAAGCTACAACAGAGTCCAGCAGCTCGCATGTAAGAAAGGCTGCTGTATCACCAAGCCAAACATTCCCTGAGTTTTCAGTGACACATGTAAATTCCGAATAACCCAGCGACCTTTGTACATTGTTTCACTTTCCTTTCCTTGAAAGATGATTGTTACTTCATGTTAAAATCACCCTTTCAGAAATCAGACAGACCAACACACAGCACACTGATAGTTATTTCTCCCAAGAACTCCATTATAACATTTACCCATTTATTGGGAGGGGTTAAAGTGGACTCAGGCAAATGCCAGCCTTCAAGCAAACACAGCTTTATAGAAACCGCCATAACTCTGCTGGCAATGTTACCCAATTTCCAAGGGTTGACAAAGTATCTAAGAGCACTTCCTGCAATCACACCACCGCAATGGCAAAGATGGGGCAGAGGCCATGACTTTTTAGTCACCAAGCACCCTCAGATGAGCTACCCATCATACCAGGGCAGTACTGGTGAGGCTGGCACAGGCTGCAACGCGCTCTGCTGTGCTGCTCCAGAGGCTGAAGGCACTGTGCTTTACAGAGACACGTCACCAGTGGCTTTTCCATCCTTTTTCATCACACTAGCTCTGAAAGCTAAGCTCTGGGTTTTACCTGTTGATAAGGTACAAACTTCAAACGTACAAACGCACCTCCGGACTTACATGGTACAATTGCTCAGATGGTTTTTAAAGGCAAGATTACAATGCCCGAAACACTTCTTCTGGCTACTGTATTTTGAAAAGAGCACTAAGCATTTTTCAAAATACTTGTAAAATGCTATGCAAATGAAATGGCTAGATGATAATCCAATATAATCAATGTCAGGCCACAAAATAACATTTGGATTTACATATCCTTGTAGAGGTGAGCAACAAACATCAAAGTCTACACAAATAGCTAGATACAGTTAGGAATACAGACATTTCTGTCTACTTCCCAGTATTCGCTGGCACATGCAGTGCAATAGGTTAGAATAAGCAACATGACGCAGTACAGCAAACTCACTATTTTTACCAGTATGCATTATCGTGCTCCTGCATTCTTAGCTCTGCAAGAGATTAATTTAAAACAACCAACAAAACCCAAAAACCACACTGGACAGCAACGCTAAAATCTTTCCTTTTACTTCTTTCCTCCCACACTGAAGTCCCATGAGTTGCACAGATACTAGTGAAAAAAAAAAATTCAAATCCTTTCTCCTAGCTTCCTCAGAGCAGAAATCCAGACATTACCCCGGCGTGGCAGTGTGCACACACGTACATCCACGTGCAACACGCCACAGAACTTTCTACGCTACTACTGCGCAGTTAAGAACACAGTATACTTTTTCACTCAGTTTGACCCCAAGTAGAGAGATGATCAAAGAGAAAGATGTAAAGTGTGTCAGTCTTTGTTATGCAAATAGCTAAACAGAACCAAATTTTTTAAAATTATACGTGAAAAAACCTACATCCTCAAGTCAAAGGTTTTACATAGCACAACTCTTACTAAAGTGTTTTTAAGGGCTGTATAAACCTCTGGGTAAAAGAGTGCATAATTCAAACTCTGACAGACAATTAACTGTAACCGTGTTAACGGATGTCACTATAATAAACTGCACTGAACAGCTGCAGAGACAGAATGGGAAGAAAGCAGAATTATGACAGATGTACACCCTGAAGACAAACCGAAAAACTGGCTTCTCCTGAAAGCAGCCCAGTAACTGCAATGAAACCAGGACCTAATTATCTCTAGTACACGAGAAATCGCTTCAAAACACTTATTGTACAAATGGAAGTGAAGTGTGACATACTCTTAACGAAATGGATAGTAGATGAAGACATTTGGCTTCTACTACTGTACTCTTTTTAAATACCTTGTTATGACACCAACCCGGTCTTCACCAACTGACACCTGACATAGCAAGAAAAAAAAAATGGTTTCTTCCTTCTGCGCCCAGACAAAAACAAAAAAAAAAAAGGAACTACATCAGAATGAAGTTATACTATTAAAATCCATCCATCTAAAACTTTATAATTCTTCTTTATCACCTATGAAAGCTTCAACAGCTACATTTTATAGTCACGAAGATACAAGAAGAATTCTTAAATTAAATACTACAGTATTATGTAGCACAGTCCACACTACAAAAAAAGCCACAGACCTTAAATTTTCAGAAAAAAATCCTCCAAGTCTCACAAACAAAAAAGTGTGTTCCAAGGCCAAGACTGTTCTCCACAAGGAGTATTTCTACTGCCTTCAGCGCACCTATTCAAAATTTCACAAGGAAAGGCAGAAGCACAATTTGGATGTATCAGCCCAACACTTCTCAGCAATCCACATGTTCATTTATGCACCTGTGCAAGTCAGCTCATAACGTTACCTTACAATCTGGGCAGTGGCAGCAAATTATTCCCAAACTGTGCTGGTGAAACTGACTGCCCAAAATCTTGAGCAATGATAAATTGGGCTCCATGAATTAATTCAACCCACCCTGCACCCACTGTAATTCATCTCTTCCATCTAGAAAAAGCTGACAGCTTGGTCAGCTCCAGCTGAAAACAGGAGCACGAAGCAGTAGTACTAACCACATGGAGAAAACATTTGAGGAAAGACTGGAAGTTTTTTTTACTCTATTCTGTGAATTGGGAATGAAACCAGAGAAGCTGGAAGGGAAATCTACAGCTGTAAGGAGAAAGGGGAGTTTATTATTATTATTTTATTTTAAACATATGTATTAAACATAGCTCAAAAGCAGGGAGCGAGTGGTATCTGAAGCCAGAGGGAAAATCCTGCCACTAAAACGTACAACCCTTGCTGTTTCAACAATATCCCACTGAGTGTGAGAAACCTCTAGAAATAGAATCATAACAAGCATATTTTGGCATAACTTTTATGAAGGTTTTAGGTTTGTAAGAGCGGGCAGCTTTTGACTTACTTAAAAGACAGCGCCTGCTAAAAAAAAAAAATTATTCCCAATCACAGCTAAATCTTTCTCTAAAAAGAAAAAATGGGGCTAGCATAAAAGCATCTTCCCGCTTTAACATTAAAACGTCAACTAAGATGTGTCGCTAAATGCTATCGCAATTTCTAATACTACCTAACAGCTATCCAAGGAGAGGCAATCTATTTTTAACGCTTGCATGCAGCCGCACAAACCAGTCGTTTACATGTCACACATGGCCAGTTCTTACTGGACCGACTGACAGGTCTCAAGAGCCCACGGACTTCACCTACGGGTGAAATCTAATAAACTTTCTTGGAATAAAGCTGTCAGCTGAAGGAAAATAAGGAGACCGAGGGAGAAGTTAGTCAGAGGCACGCACTCCGCCCGGGAAGCGGGGCTTTTTGAAATCGTCTCACAGGTGAGCGCCGCTTCTACTGATCCTAACGAGCGGCCGCCACCCGCCGAGCCAACGGCCGCCAGCTCAGGGCCGCCTTTCCAAGAGGGCGGGAGCCGGGGCTTGAAGAGTAAATTCAAAAGCGGCGCCTCACACTCGCCGGCTCCGGGGCGGCTCTCCCCCCTCCTCCTCCTCCTCCTCCCGCAGCGATCCCGCCTCAGCTCCCGGCCGGGCGGCGGCTGCCCACACGCGCCCGCCGGCCGTTAACGCCCGCGCCGAGGGCTCCCGGCGCCGCCGAGACCCGGAGAGCGGCGGGGAGAGGAGACGGAGCCGCCTCCCTGCCCGGCTGCGGCCGGGCTACACCTCCCCCGCGGGGGTGGCACCTTCCTGGGCAGCGGCACGGCCGCCGCTTTCCGTTTGAAACGGCCCGGCTCGCCCCCACCACCTCCTCCTCCTCCTCCCGGCTCCCTCTCCCGCTCCTCCCCGCCGCCGGCCGCACCAATCCGCTCGGACCCGGCTGCAAATCAAACTTGGTGCCCCCGGCTCCGCTCCCGAAGCCCCGAACCCCTGTCACTGCCGAAAACGGCCAAAGCACCTTCCCCACGCGCCCCCAGCTCCACGCTG